GTTGGATATCTCCTGTATACTGGACGGGGGTGATGGGTTGGATATCTCCTGTATACTGGACGGGGGTGATGGGCTGGATATCTCCTGTATACTGGACGGGGGGATGTGCTGGATATCTCCTGTATACTGGACGGAGGTTTGTGTTGGATATCTCCTGTATACTGGACGGGGGTGATGGGTTGGATATCTCCTGTATACTGGACGGGGGTGATGGGCTGGATATCTCCTGTATACTGGATGGGGGTGATGGGCTGGATATCTCCTGTATACTGGATGGGGGGGATGGGTTGGGAAGGAAAGGATGCCGCATCACCCTACAGGGGGCCGAATTCAAAGACACCCCAAAAATAAAAGTGAACAAATGATGCGTCAGGCCAGTCCATTGCGCTGAAATGTCATTGCAGCAACTCAGAATGGTCCTCATTAGTTTGTATGGATGCCTGACAACGCCGGGGCATGCTCTGAATGAGACGGATGGTGTCCTGGGGTTATCTCCTCTCTCCTCCCAGATCTGGACCAGGGCATCACTGAGCTCCTGAACAGACTGGCGCTGTCAGATGGACCGAGACAATGTCGCAGAGGTGTTCTATTGGATTCAGGTCAGGCGAGCGGGGGGGCATTCAATGGTATCAATTCCTTCAGCCTTAGGAACTGGCTGCATAGTCTCGTCACATGAGGCCGGGCATTGTCATGCACCAGGAGGAACCCCGGACCCACTGCACCAGCGTAGGGTCTGACAATGGGACCAAGGCTCTCATCCCGATAGCTAATGGCAGTCTGGGTGCCATTGTCTAGCCTGTAGAGGTCTGTGCGTCCCCTCCAAGGATAGGCCTCCCCAGACCATCACTGACCAATCCCCCCCTCCCCCCGATTTTACAGGCAGCATAACGTTCTCCACGGCTTTGCCAGACTCTTCCACGTCTGTCACATGTACTCAGGGCAAACCTGCTCCATCGGTGAAAAGCACACGGCGCCAGTGACGGACCTGACAATTCTGGTGTTCAATGGCAAATGCCAATCGACCTCCACGGTGCCGGGCAGTGAGCACAGAACCCACTAGAGGATGTCGGGCCCTCAGGCCACCCTCATGAAGTCTGTTTCTGATTGTTTGGTCAGAGACATTCACACCAGTGGCCTGCTGGAGGTCATTTCATAGGGCTCTGGTAGTGCTCATCCTGTTCCTCCTTGCAGATACAGGTCCTGCTGATGGATTAAGGACCTACTACAGCCCTGCCCAGCTCTCCTAGTGTAACTGCCTATGTCCTGGAATCTCCTCCATGCTCTTGACTGTGCTGGGAAAGACCACAAACCTTCTGGCAATGGCACGTATTGATGAGCCATCCTGGAGGAGTTGGCATGTCTATGCAACCTCTATGGGGTCCAGGTATCGCCTCATGCTACCAGTAGTGACACTGACTCTAGCCAAAGGCAAAACTAGTGAGAAACTGTACTGGCCTCCACCTGTACCATTCCTGTTTTGGAGGTAGTCTCATTGTTGCCCATCTAGTGCACATGAAACTGATTAACACCCTGACGGCTATCATTCAGCAGAGGATGGACCTTCAGGAACTGAATATGAGAGGAAGAAACAGGTCCATTATTTGTGATCTTTCAGCATCACTCCGGTCACAATTCTAATAGAATCCAGGATAATACTTACTCCAGCTCCCGCAAGGTACAGCCCGGCTGGCGCAGACTGTCGCACAGGATCTTAAAAATGGCGTCCTCCAGTTTGTGGTGGCTGATGACAAGTTTGGTGAGGGATTGGCTGGAAGAAATCAGAGAACGGAGATCCTCGAAGAAGGACGGGGCGACCACACAGACATGAAACCTGCAAGAAGAGCAGAAGAATAAAAGTTATAGCATTTAACAGTAGAAGAGCCCAACGTCTACTGACTCCTCCCCTTCCTTGTTGAGGGTACAAGACCACCAGGACCTGGTGGCACCTATAGTCCAAGCTCCACCAGCAATCCCCTGCACAGGGAACAGACTTCCTCTTCGAAAGGGAAGATGATGAAAGGAGGTCACAAACTTACTCCAGTTGTTGGATTTTGCTGCCTGGGTTGGACAGCCAGGAGGCCTTCCCACCAGTCTCGGTGTCCTCAGCAAAGCCGCACCGTACAAAGCTGGAGGAGAAAGAAAATGCAATGACCTCTCAGAGCCAAACACAAGTTGAAGACAAACTGCTGAATATTGACTTGTTCTAACAAGCAGCCAGGAGCCCTTTACTACAATATTCTCATCAAAGGTCTTTATGTTCCGATACCAGTTACTAGACTACGAGGACTCCCATGGATAAAGATTCCCAACATACATGTACATTAGAAACCACAGCTATGCCAGGCTATGGGAGGACCAGTGGTGATATCATTACATGGCCTCTGGTAAGAAGTGACTACAGCCGGGATGTTAGCAGACCATTGGCTCTGGAATAAAGCAGCACATTGGCCACCAGTCATACAAGAAATGGGGATTGGTGTGACCGTGTTCATAATGTCCTACATGATAAAGGCCTTCCAGCATAGAAAGTGTTTCAGAGATGGTACTTTGGAGAACGGACCACCTGGCCCCTCCCTCTTCACATATTCAGAATGTAATGCTCACTTTGTCTACGGGGGGATGTAATAGAGACCATGACTTCCCTTACTCTACAGTCTTACGTTTCCTCTCTGCTGGTTCCTAACTTCTTGAGGACTTCTAGTGAAGGAGACACGCCCTACAAATGTCACAGGACGTACCTCCTACGCTTCCCCAGATATCGCATACTGGGAACTCCCGGACACACAATGACACTTGTAGATAGTCTGCGGGTGTCACTGACGAGTACAATGTATCCATTTATAGTTACATTGTATTTACTAACTCACTGGAATAGAGATGAAGGTTGTGACCTCAGATCTGCGTCTGACATCCGCTAAAGAAACATCCTCCAATTTCCCCGAATTACCCCCGATTACCCCAAATATCTCCTTAAGCCCTTGAGATAAATATCTTATGTTTTTATCCAATATTGGTCAAAAACAACCAAAAAACATTTTCCTCCTTTGTGGCTACAGACTAATTCCTTATTTTTACAATAGCGCCTAAAGAATGCCGAGTGTCTCCAAAAACCAAAGCGTAATGGTGACATGTCCATACGGGGTATACACGGGAGCTGAAGGGGCTGCGAGCGTGAACCTCGGGGGTGAGGAAGGTTCGCTGGGAGCTCTGGTCACGTGTTGGCTTGTGGCGACTACAATGAGGAAGACATAAAACTTGGCCCGCTGTTAGTAAATCGAGTGACCTCCCATCCCGGAGGTGGAGAAATGGTCATCCAGAGAAGAACGCCGAGTTACCTTTAAGGGGAGACTCTGCCATGGTGCCGACACGGATCAGATGCAGACTCGGCCTCACCTGTAAGAAAGAAGAGGACGGGTTCAGTGGATTCCTTCCATAGAAGATACGAGAGCCGCATCCAGGCTACGGACAAAACACAGGAAACGACATACTAGCTTCAGACCCGCAGACTAGCGCGACCTCCAACACCACCCCCTCTCCTTTAGGTGGGTGGGTGGAGAGTAAACAAACGCTGCGGACCCCGATGGACACCAGACAACGCAAGCCGAGGAATGCCCGGTAACCGAAGGGGAAATGTGCGTTATGGAACACGGACTTGTCTTGTTGTCCAACCTTCTAAAGCCAACACCGCCATATATGTGCGAATGAATATCTGCGTTATACTGAAATATAAATAGTGATCAATGTTCAATATATTAACCTTCGTGTGCAACTGTGTGTCATGTGTCAGCGGAGGACTAAGGACCTGTTCACCTACTACACCACGAGAGTAAATCAATAAATGAAAATTAATTGAAATAAAAGGATGCGATTGGTTCCGCGAATGAAATTATTTGTCGTTATTCGTGTAAAGGAAACAATGTATCGTGAGCCGGTGAGCGGCAGGGACACAGATGTCTTCGTCCGCTGGTATAATATAGACAAAGAAACTATGAAACAATGTATCAAAAATGTTCCAACCGTTCCTTACATTAGTGTAGCAACATCAATTGTAACTTTGTGTCCTTATCTGCAAATTAGTGATTGTGAGTGATTGGCACAGCAAGAATAGATTGATCACTCAATCATTTGCCGATAAGGTCACCCTACAATACAAGAGGGTCTCCAGTACCAGCATAGACCTCCAGGTCCCCCATACAGGTCTTCTATCCACCAACAGGTCACCCTAAAATACAAGAGGGTCTCCAGTACCATCATAGACCTCCGGGTCCCCCGTACAGGTCTTCTATCCACCAACATGTCACCCTACAATACAAGAGGGTCACCAGTACCATCAGAGACCTCCGGGTCCCGCATACAGGTCTTCACCTCACCAACATGTCACCCTACAATACAGGAGGGTCCCCAGTACCATCATAGACCTTCGGGTCCCCCATACAGGTCTTCATCCCACCAACAGGTCACCCTACAATACAAGAGGGTCACCAGTACCATCAGAGACCTCCGGGTCCCACATACAGGTCTTCACCTCACCAACATGTCACCCTACAATACAAGAGGGTCCCCAGTACCATCATAGACCTCCGGGTCCCCCATACAGGTCTTCACCTCACCAACAGGTCACCCAATAATACAAGAGGGTCACCAGTACCATCATAGACCTCCGGGTCCCCCAAACCTGTACTCAACCCACCAACAGGTCACCCTACAAAACAAGAGGGTCCCCAGTACCATCATAGACCTCCGGGTCCCCCATACAGGTCTTCAATCCACCACCAACTGGTCACCCTACAATACAAGAGGGTCTCCAGTACCATCATAGACCTCCGGGTCCCCCATACAGGTCTTCACCCACCAACAGGTCACCCTACAATACAAGAGGGTCACCAGTACCATCATAGACCTCCGGGTCCCGCATACAGGTCTTCTATCCACCAACAGGTCACCCTACAATACAAGAGGGTCCCCAGTACCATCATAGACCTCTGGGTCCCCCATACCTCTCCTCAACCCACAAAGAGGTCACCTTTAGTGATGTGCAGTTCCTGAACGGATCGTTCTTTAGAATCGATTCTATTCGGTGATCTGGAGTGGATTCCTCGGAGTGATCCGATCCGTGTGAAGCAGCTCAGTGTGGAATGAAGAGCAGAGCGGCTCTTGTAAGATGATTTTAGAGCTCAGCTCCTGCCAGCCCCGCCCTCTTCCTGCAACCAACCACAAGTGTGAACCAACAGCACACGAGTCTGAGAATCATACCGGACCGGTGAGTCAGAAGAATGGTGAGTCACCAGCAGAACACACAATGGGCATGTTGCAGCACTGATAAGGGACAGACATCCCGGAGATAAGAGAAAGGACCGTTTGGATAACACGAGATCCTCAGATTGATGGTTTAACCCTTTAGGAACGTGACTGGCCGCACAGAGTCCTGACCTCAACCCCATAGAACACCTTTGGGATGAATTAGAGCGGAGACTGCGAGCCCCTCCCCCAACATCAGTACCTGACCTCACAAATGGTCCAACATTCCCATAGACACACCCCTAAACCTTGTGGATGCCTTCCCAGAAGAGGCGGAGCTGTTATGGCAGCAAAGGGCGGAGCCAACCCAATACTGAACCTTACGGACTAAGACTGGGATGTCATTAGAGGGCTGAGCCAACCCAATACTGAACCCTATGGACTAAGACAGGGATGTCACTAGAGGGGTGGAGCCAACCCAATACTGAACCCTACGGACTAAGACTGGGGGGCCATTAAAGTTCATGTGTGTGTAAAGGCGTCCCAATACTAATAGCAATATAGTGTATGTAAAAGGCACCCATCAGTGACCTCTGGGTCCCCCATACAGGTCTTCACCCCACCAACAGGTCACCCTACAATACAAGAGGGTCACCAGCACCATCATAGACCTCCGGGTCCCCCATACAGATCTTCATCCCACCAACAGGTCACCCTACAATACAAGAGGGTCACCAGCACCATCAAAGACCTCCGGGTCCCCAGTACGATCATAGACCTCCGGGTCCCCCATACAGGTCTTCATCCCACCAACAGGTCACCCTACAATACAAGAAGGTCCCCAGTACCATCATAGACCTCCGGGTCGCCCATACAGGTCTTCATCCCACCAACAGGTCACCCTACAATACAAGAAGGTCCCCAGTACCATCATAGACCTCCGGGTCCCCCATACAGGTCTTCATCCCACCAACAGGTCACCCTACAATACAAGAAGGTCCCCAGTACCATCATAGACCTCCGGGTC